TTGTGACTGGTCTTCGTTAGGAGTGCCCTGAGATATATTTGGATGCTATCAGGTTTGTGGAATAGCTATACAGTGTATGGTAGTTGCTAGTTCAAGATGGGGGCTTTTCAGCTGATAGGATATAGCTGTTGTCTTTAAGTCCAACTCCTCAGTTGACCTCTAGTCCTAAACACTACTAAAAGGTCAACTGTGATTTGTTCTGACAAAGAAAGAACGATAGAAGCGGAAAGACACAAGGCTGCCTCACAGATGTAGAAGATAGATCTGAGGCTACCATCCGCCTCCTCTCATTCGTTGCTTAAAGGCATCTGACATGAGACGGACGCACGCCATTGGTAGGAGTGAGTGACATTTTAAGCCAATAATCACAGAGGGTTTTCTTCCCTCCGCCGGGCTGTCAGTGGTGGTTTATCAATCAATGTGTCTGCATTAGTATTAGACTATCGATCTAGCTCTGTCTGTACCTCTGGGTCACGGGTATGTCTCCTCTCCTGTCTCCTTGTCTGGCCTGCTGTCTCCTCTCATGTCTCCTTGTTTGGCCTCCTTTCTCTCCTCTTTCCTTTCATCTCATTTCCTTTCCTTTTTTCTCCTGTGTGTGTGTGTGTGTGTGTGTGTGTGTGTGTGTGTGTGTGTGTGTGTGTGTGTGTGTGTGTGTGTGTGTGTGTGTGTGAGAGTGTGTTGATGTTGTGCACATGTGTGTATTTTCCATTTTACCCAGCCACAGGAGCTTTGGGACACAGTTCAATTATGCTCATTAGTTTTCGTAAAAACAAAAGAGGGCTCCTCATGTTTTTAACTAAAGCACTTTTACTGCACCGCTTTCACTCTGTTAGTTCTGCAAACTCCATATTAAAACTAGGCTCTTATAAAGGTAATGAATCCAAAGGTCGGTGTTAGGGAAATCTGCAGAGAGCGCCAGGGAAAGCTGGAGACAATTAAAGTCCAATCCCCCTACTGTGTCCCCCCTACACACACACACACACGCACACACACACACACACACACACACACACACACACACACACACACACACACACACACACACAGAGAGAGAGAGAGAGAGCAGGATGGGGTTTGGTAGCTGTGCCGTGCTGTGCTCTGCTCTCCCCTAGCTGTGAATTTAGTTGATTAGATCTGCCGGTGCACACAGCAGTGGTGACATGAAAACAACAACTAATAAGCCTTCCCTCTGCGCCATGCGGCTTCTTTTAACCAAGCCGTTAATAATGCAGCCCAAAGGACTACAGGCCTTATTGTGTCATACAAACACACACAGGTATGCATGCGTTAACACACACACACACACACACACACACACTGTATATACAGTATGCGGGGGGGGATTTCAATAGGAATACTGTCTCATGTTCTAAGGTCTTTGTTCATCTTCATGCCTTGTCGTTTGACTTGTCTTTTCCCCTATGGCCAGTTTGAATGTATTCTCTCTTTCTCCCCGCTCTTGCTATCCATTTGCAGATTGACATGATAAAATTATTATGTTTACATAGAGTAAGTCACAGACAGTGTTTAATGACAGTGACACTACCCAGATCAGAGAGTGTATTAGTTGAGACTGGGCCTAGTACTATGCAGTGTTTACAGGCTGGTTATATAGACCAGAAGGGTGTGTATCGCTTCATTGTTTACCTTTCTATTTTTCACATTAAATGAAATAATATTTTCGTGGTTAAAGCATGTGTCTTATTTATTTATTTTTGTAATTAAGTATAGAAATTACAGTCATGAGTCAGAAAATAGTCCTATTAGAATGTTCCAGTCTCAGCCAGGTCCTGGCAGGTTTAAATGTCAATGAATGGGCACATTAACATTACATGCTGACAATGTGGCCTGAACACATTTGTTTTGAAAATTATATAATTTTATACTAATATAATTATTGTTCAGAGAAAGAGATTTTGTTTAACAAGTAATATTTTTTTCTTCAAAAAGGTAGGAGTGTATTATTGACACCCCTAAAGAGTCTTATAAATTAAGTAGTCAAAAGTTTAGTAGATGACTACGTCAAGTGTGGATGCATTTGCAGTTTGTTTTGGTTGCATTTCAGATTATTTTGTGCCCAATAGAAATGAATGGTAAATAATGTATTGTGTCATTTTGGAGTCACTGTTATTATAAATAAGAGTAGAATATGTTTCTAATCACTTGTACATTAATGTGGATGCTACCATGATTACGGATAATCCTGAATGAATCGTGAATAATGATGAATGAGAAAGTTACGTAGGGTCAAAGATCATACCCCCAAGATTACCTCTCACCATTACAATAACAGGGGAGGTTAGAATGTCTTGGGGGGTCCGTGGGTGGCTTTTGACCCCCAAAAAATTTATTCCTCATGCCTTACTCATTGTTAGGAAGAAGTTTGGTCCAAGTTGAATGTTTGGGTCTATATTTATTTAATATAATCTGAATCCTATAAATGAAAATGTCCAATTTGGGTGCAATCAATTTGCTTTATTTCAAAAACAACAAAAAATTGCTTCATATCACATAGTGGGATGACAGTGTGGGTAGTGTGGATTATGCAGCGCGTGTTTCGCAGTGGAACTGAGCAGTTCGTCCCCAGTGCTGGGCAATCGTTTTTATTTTTTTTGTGATCACCAAGGAAGGCATATAGCCTATCAAAGTTCACCGACCTTTTCAAACGTCCGAAATCAAAGTCTATTTCTAGTGATCACGCTGCTTATACAACACACACCTGGCTTTGTACACCTTCAACAAGGCTTGAACTCTGCAAGGCCCCAACATTACCCTGAGCACTGTTCTCAATCATCTTTATGCCTAGTGTGTGATGTGTTTGTATGTGTGTGCTTGTATGCTTGTGTGCATAAGAGAAATGTGTGTGTGTGTGATTGCATCACAGGGATACAAATAGTCCCCCCAAAAAACGTTTACTAAAACACTTTGGTGTTAAAACCTTTAAACCAACCCCCATCACAGTTTGCAAAAAAGTTTCCCTTTCCATTCCGTCTGTGATTGCCGGAGTACGTATTCTGTATTCTGCTGGTTTGAAGATGATGGATGACAAGTTAAATTTGTGTCCGGGGAGTGAAGGTGAAGTGTGACAGAGTGATTTGTCTTGGGAATGGAGGGTTAGGGTCAGGCCAAAGCGGGCGCCTCCAGGCACAAGACATTGACAAATTCATCCTGCCCGCCGCATTTCTGAAGGCTTTTGTTTTGAATCCTGGCTACTGACTGGTGACCCCCATCCCTCATCCTGCCAGCGTAGAAGGAAGCCCGTCGCGACTGAGTCCCGGGTCCAGGCCATGCCAGGGGAACTCAGCACCACTAATTCACGCCATTCAACCCTCTGACAGGCCCCTAACCAAACTCTCCCTGCCTCTCCCGACGCGTGAAAAGAAGGAGGCAGAAATATTTATTTCTGCACGTAATGGCCGTCTGCACAGTTTTAGGGCCGTATCATTTTTCTCTTCTCTCTCTCTCTCTCTCTCTCTCTCTCGCCTTATCATTGCAGGTCACTGGCGGGCCTCAAAGCGTTCACTGGGCTGGAAGAACTGATCATCGACAACAATCTGCTCGGAAACGACCTCCAGTTGCCCAGGTTACCCACCCTCCACACCCTGACACTCAATAAGAACCAAATATCCTTTCAAGCGAAGCAGCACTCACTCTCTATCTGCCTCTCATTCTTCAGCATGGGCTAAGGCTATAGGCTACAAGCCATTGTGTCTTTGCTGTTTGTTGAGCTTCTATATCTCTGATTTGAGTCTGTATCTCTGTGTTCTCAAACTCTGTGGAAGTCTCTAATAGTGTATTTGTAGTGAGTGTAAATGCGGTGCTATAAAGGCATGTGGGTCTTGTTACTGTACCTTAGACCCCACAGACTAGTTTCTAAGCCACGGGGACCTCTAGTGGAGACAGGGATAAACGCCAGTAGGGTCTGTGTTGATATGTTGAGGAAGAAACGGGAAAGGGAGGAACTTCTGAAACTACCATATGCTTTGAGAAAGAGCACTTTAAACATACATTAGTTGTTTAACCAATTATGAACATTGACAAATGAACCACTAGTATAATAACTCTCATATGCAGTGTAGTGGGAAAAACTGAAAACCTCCTAACAAAATAACACGAATATGTTAAAAAAGAGTGACACACAAACATTTACCACCTGAAAACAAAACATGCAGCCATTACTTTTATGCTATATAAATTGCCAGTAACATGTATCTATTGCAATTGCAGAGGCGATAATTTAACAACTACATGTACTTTCCTCATTGGAATAGTAAACCAGGTTAACCTTGACCGTAAGGACTCACACTCAAACCCAAACACTGCACCACTACTTATGATCAGACGGAAAATATGTTTCAACTTCCTCCCTTAGCGTTAAGAACCCAGCCTAACTATGTGTCCTCTTTCCCCCTGGTAGCCTCTCCCTAGTAGATCCATCTACAGGGTAATGATGCAAAAACACCCCTCCCGTGTCAACATTAAAACTGGGGCTTCTTGAAGTGCGTGTCAGCGGCTCTAAAGCCTGAGTCAGGTTGTGAAGTGGCCTGCACATGCTAATGGCCCAATTAGACCACATCCTGATGTGGAGCTGTGCCATTTTACACACTCTACCACTGCATTAGTGCACTTGTATTTTGACACTTTGGGGCACAATTTTCCAATGAAGTGAATGTATTAGTGATGAATGTGTCCTGTTTGGGAGGCTGGTTGCTTTTTTTTCCACGTTTGCGGGGGAACTTTTTTTTAGCGTCAGCTACGGCTCTGGAATCACGGACCGTTTGAACCACAGGGCATCCATCATTTTGTCAATGTTTTAATGCTTCGCACCCGGCCACCTAGGAGAGAGGGGGGGAGAAGTAGGAGAGACGGAGAAGAAGAAAGAGAGAGAGGGGAGGGTGGAAAGAGAGAGAGAGAGAAAATACAGGGAACTAAACAGGCAAATATATGCCAATCTCTGAGCCTTAAATTGAGCATTTCAGTCTGCTCCCTCACACAACACA